TGCCCTCGATCCAGAGGCAGCGCAGGCTCTGCAGCTGGGCGAAGTCGCCGGGCAGCGCCAGCAGCCGGTTGCCGCCCAGGTAGAGGCGCGCGAGGCGCGGCAGGCGGCACAGGCCGTCGGGCAGGCGCTCCAGCTTGTTGAAGTCGAGCGCCAGGATGCGCAGCTCGCGCAGCTCCTCGATCTCCTCCGGCAGCTCGCGCAGCCCCGTGCCGCTCACGTACAGCTTCTCCAGGCGGCTCAGCGTGCACACGGCGCTGGGCAGCCGCCGCAGCCGCCGCCCGCTCAGCTCCAGCTGCTGCTCGCCGTGGCGCAGCTGCTCCTCCGCGTCCGACGGCAGCTCGTCCAGGGTGGACTCGGCGATGCCCATGGTCACGGGCCCCGACCGGGGCCACTGCCGCCGCCGCCGCCGCCGCCGCCCGGCATCGCTCCGCCCTGGTCGCCCCCTGGTCTCCCCGACGGGGCCGAGGCCGCCTCGGCTCCGGGGGCCCCCCGCCCCGGCCTGCCCCTGCGCCGGGAGGGGGGCCGTGCGCGGCCGAAAGGAGGCACCCGCTTGGAGCCCAGCCGCGGGGCGCTGCGCTCGGAGGCTCGCCCTCTGGCCTCCCCGGCTCCCGACGCCGGCGGACTGGCTCGGGTTAGCTCTGACTCGCAGCTAAGCGACCCGTCGCCCTGGCAACCCCCGACGCGGCTGCCAATGAGGCAGAGGGAGGGCGGGGCGGGGCGGGGCCAAGAGCTACGGGTGCCGGGGTCCGGGCGCCGGCCAGCGCGGGCCGCGGGAACCCCAGGTCGGCGCCTCCCGAGCCCGGCTTTACGCGGGCGCAGACCCGCCCGCCGACGCTCTCCCGTCGCCGCGAGCCGTTCGGTTGGCGGTCATTTGCGCCCAGATCGGCAAGTCCGGGAAGAAGGGACCGAAGGCCAGGAAACGCCGGCGCGCACACCCGGACCCTGGGCACGTGGCTCTGGAGAAGGGACTGAGGACTGCGGTCGCCGCCGGCCCCTTCGGTGCCGCCGCACGCGACTAGCTTCCCCGCGAGGGTCGCTTCAGGACAGTGACGCGGGACAGAGCGACCGTCTGGCCCTTCTCAGGGTGGGTCACACCGGAGGACTTTCGGGGACTCGGAGCCTGGCTCCGCCCGGTCCGCGCCCGGGACAGCCGCCTCGCCCCGCAGGCTCCTCCGCGGTGCGCTCGCACGCTGTCTCCTGCCACGTCCCCCTGCGGTGCTCAGCGTGTGCGTGGACGGAGGATGGGCCCCCAGCGCCTCTGAGCGCCACCCGCCAGGACCACTTTCACTCCGGGACCTGCCTGGTGCGCATGCTCCCACCACAGCCTGGCCGCCTTCCCCAGCCTCTCCCGCCCCTTCGGAGCCCTCCTGCCAGAGCTCCGGGCAGGAAGGCGCGCTCCCCTGGGTTGGGAACCTGCGTGTGCCCAGCACTCCTGGCACGGAACCCTGGCGACGTGCTGTGGGGTAGGTACCCTCTTTACCCCAATCTTAAAGATGACGGAAGAGGCTCTGAGAGGCTTGATGAGCTGAGTGACTTGCCCAAGGTCACCCCACCGGCTGGGGAGTGGCTGGGGGTTGAGACTAGGTGGTGTGTGGCTCTGCGGCCTGTACTCCTGGCCGTGGACCAATAAGTGGAACACTAACTGCGCCTCCCACAGCGGAGCCTCCCACCTGGTGCCAAAGGCCTCGTTCATCCCACACGAGTGATGAGGAAAGTGCCCCCAGGGATCAGGCATGGGCCTCCCCTGTCCTCAGTGTGACCTTGAGACTGGCTGAAGGCGCACACCTCCGAGCAGCACCCTGCCCTTTGACCCGCCCCCACTCCATCCCCACTGCAGGCCCAGACAGAGGGGCTCCAGGGCAGAGGGCAGAGGGCAGTGGCACGGGTGGTCAGGACAAGAGCCACGCTCCCTGCCACATGAGCTCCGCAGGCAGGCAGGGAGTGTGTGTCCCCTGCTGGCGCGGGGCCTGGCTCATTGTAGGTATTCAGTAACATGTTTTGCATACAGTGACATGCATGGATCACATACGTGTACAGGTTTTTCTTAAATATATTTTTATTGATTTCAGAGAGGAAGGGAGAGGGAGACAGAAACATCCGTGATGAGAGAGAATCATTAATCGGCTGCCTCCTGCACGCCCCCTACCATGGGGATTGAGCCCACAACCTAGGCACATGCCCTTGATCGGGATCGAACCTGGGAGACTTCAGGCCGCAGGCTCTACCCACTGAGCCAAACCGGCCAGCGATACAGCTTGAGCTTTGACACATGTGAACACCCGTGTAGTATGGCCGCCACTCAGAGTCCCCTGGTGCCTCTTACTGTCAACTCCCACCTCCCAGGGGCAGCCATGATCCTGACCTCTATCATCACGGGTCAGTGAGGCCTGTTCTTGGGTTTCATGTAAATGAAATTATTCAGTGTGTACTCCTTCTGCTCCTGACTTCTTTTGCTCAGATACCCCACGTAGGTGTGGGATAAATAGCAGTGGGAACAGGCTAGGGGTGTCAGGGTGACAGGGGACACAGAGGCAGATATTGCCGGGGCCAGGAACCAGCCAGGGACCCCTGTCTAGGGATGGAAACAGATGAGATGCTGACAGGACCTCGGAAGGAGGGAGGGGCGCCAGGCAGAGGATAAGCGCAGCCCAGACACCAGAGCTGGGGTATGGGAGGGTCTGAGCCTTAGCCAGAGGGGCTTCTCACTCCTTCCAGACCTCGCCCCATTCAACACTCGCCCTTCTGCTTTGGGAGAACTTCCCAGAAGAAGCAAGCAGAGGAAAACCCAGCCAGGCTGATGGATAGGGCTGAGCGCCTCCCCCACCCCCACCCCACCCCCTGCTGCCCCTCAAACAGATTCCCCCTGAGGGAACATCCGCTGTGGAGGAGGAAGCCCAGCCAGCCCCCCTCGCCACATGCTCGGAGCTGGCACTCCGCGGGCTCTGCCTGCGCGGGCAGGAGCCACATGCCCTGCCCCTCCAGCACCCGCCTGGCCGAGCGTCCTGGCTTCCAGGGCACGGGACCGGCCCTCTCCTTTCTCCCAGTCTTTGTCTTGCTTGTTCGATGCTGTACCTTCGCCTCCCACCAGGCCCTCCTCGGCGGGTACAGGTAAAATGTGCTGGCACTCCGGCCCACGCAGGCTGGCAGCGGGCAATCTCGCTGATGAATCACGCTGGCACTGCGGGCGCCCAGTTCTTGTTGAGGCGTCACTAATGGATTAGCTCCATCCCCAGCACGGGGCCTCTCAGCCTTTTCCCACTCCCCAGGACGCAAGAAACTGAGGCCCGGGGAGGGGGCAGGGGAGGGGGGGGCCCCCACAGCTATAGGAGTGGGCCCAGACTCTGCCAGCCTCTGCCCATTCCCCCGCGGCACCTTCCCGGAGCCCAGGTCCCTCGGGTCCCCAGAAACCGCCTGGCCGTCCGGATCAGAAGCCGTAACGCCCTGCCCACCTCCAAGCCTGTATTTTGTTCAAGAAATTTGACGCGCAGACAGGAACGAAGCTCTCGGTGACACACACCCTGCGCCTGTGTCCGGCGTTGACGACCGCACACATTTTGTCACACTCACTTTAAATCCACTTTCTTTTCTATGGGCAGGAAGGACACAGCACATGTAATATAGAAGCCCCCTTTGCCTTCCCTCCCGTGTCCCCACACGCCCCCACCCTCACCCGCGGACCCTGGCAAGGCTTCCTCTGGCTCCTACTCCCCTCTGTGGGGCCAGGACCGCTGTGGCTGCCGAGACCTGAGTGAGGTCATGGAATGTTAGCACCCGGGGCCTTAGCAGGCAGGGATGTGAGCCTGTTAGAGCCGGCCATGAAAGGTCAGGGAGGGAGGGGGCTCAGCTCCCAGGAGACCACAGGTTCTGCTGGATGTCTGCAGGAAGCTGGGGGCTTCATCCCCGGAAAACACAGGTGGCAGGAACCTCCCCCTCCCCATGATGTCACAGTTCCCACGGGTTCATGGTCTCCTGGGGACCTCGTCCCAGTCCTTCATTTGGCAAAAAAAAGGAACATGGCAATGCCCTTCATGCCATGCCCCCTCCTCCCTGCACCCCTGGACGCTAGGTGTCGCCTGCCTGCAGGTATTCATTCACCAAACAGCATGGCCCTGCGCGTGTGGCCACACAAGGGCGGTGACTGTGAACGTGGACATATTAATAGACCCGAAACCCTGCCTCTGCGGGACTCCCATTCCCGCGAGTGGAGATAATCAGCAAGAGGCATGTCCCGCTGTGTCAGGCATCGATCAGGCTGTGGGGGAAGGAGCGCAGGAGACAGAGACAGCCCTCAGGACAGGCTGGCATTTGAGCAAAGCTGGAGCGGGGAGAGGGAAAGGCCATGTAGACAGATGTCCGGGGCACGAGTTCCAGGACGGGGTGGCAGCGCCAAGACCCCGGGCAGGAGTGTGCCGGGAGCCCTGGAGCCGCAAGGAGCCCAGGCAGCAGGGAGATGGCAGGGAGAGGAAGTCTTGGGGGTGAGGGACTGCCGAGGCCTGCGGCCTTTGTGAAGGCTTTGGCTTTGACCTCTGGTGGGAGATCACTGGGGACTTTGAGCAGAGGAATGGCCTGATCTGACATACATCTTAACAGGACCCCTGTGGCTGCTGCTGAAGGAAGGGGTGTGTGTATGTGCATGCGTGTGTGTGCATGTGTGTGTGTGTTTTGGGGGTGTGGGGAAAGGCGTTTGTCCAACTCATACCCCTCCACACGGTAATCTGGGTCCTTTTCCGCACACTAAGGAGGTTCCATGTATGTGTGGGATAAAGGAACTTCGTTTCCTGACCACATTGGCCAAGCAGGTGCTTAAGTTCCCCTGCTCCACAGGTGAGAAAACCAATTCAATGAATTCAAGTAGCTCGCCCTAGCCGGTGGTGCTCAGTGGGTAGAGCGTTGGCCTGAAGACGGAAGGGTCCCAGGTTCGATTCCAGTCAAGGTCAGAGGCCTGGATTGCAGGCTCAACCCCCAGTAGGGGGCATGCAAGAGGCAGCTGATCAATGATTCTCATCATTGATCTCTCTCTTTCCTCTCTGAAATCAATAAAAAAATTATTTTTGAAAAAGAAGGTAAATAGCTTGATCAATGTCACACAGCTGGTAAGGGCAAGGCCAGGATCCAAACCCAATCCATCTTCTTGCAAAGCCCGGACTTCCAAGGCGTATTGCCTCGCTCAGCCGGGAGAAATTAAAGAAGGCACCCTGGATGCCCCAGTGCTCGCCCTCGTCATGCAAAGATTTCCAGAACTGCCCTGCTTGGACATTCTGACCCCAAGCCCAGGACGCAGCGTGTCTGCCCAACTGGGAGCATCCGAGAACCCACAGAGCCAGCCTCCGAACCCCAAAGCAGACGCAGGAAGGCAGAGCAGAGGGCCCAAGGCCAGCGTCTGCCTAGGGCTGTGATCTGGGCTCAGGGTCTGCCCATTAGCAAGTTGCAGGCACTGCCTGGGCCACCATTGGTCCAGAGCCCTTCGTACACAGCCAAGCTCACGAGGGTGGCTCAGCCACTGCCACCCTGCGCCCCAGGTCCCCGAGAAACTGGAGGCTACCAACACCCTGGGGATCACATTCCCCGAAACCAGAGCTCCTGAGAGCGGCCTGGCGGGTCTGCTGAAAGCTGAGAGTCCTCCCCAGCCCTCCAGGGACACAGAGCTGGAGCAGCAGAAGCCAGGAGTGACGCTGACTTGGGTCCGGACACGCCTCCCTGCGGGACATGCCTCCAGGCGGGACATGCCTCCATGCGACACGCCTCCATGCGGGACATGCCTCCATGCGGGACACGCCCCCATGCGGGGACAGAAACGTGACCATCCTAATGAGTTCTGAGAGGCCTCCATGTTCCAAAATGAGTTCTGACACGATGGCTCCTTCCTCTTGGAAGAAACCACAGTGGGCATAGCTGGCCGCTGCCCTTACACCTTCCTGGGCCTGTGGCCAAGTTCAAGCTGGATCTTCTGCTCCAAGACCACAGACCCAGGTCCTGCCATGACCGCCAAGGACTTGCCTGTCCTGGTCCCCCTCCCCGTGGCAGGGGAAGCCAGTGTCACTGTCTCTGTCTTCCTGGGCACTAGCAGGCTGGCGCGGTTGGACCCGGGACTGAGCACGGGCCGACAGATGTGGGCAGAAGTAGCTCATGCGGCGTTCATGCACAATCTCCCGCCTTTACTCTGTGGGGTCAAAGGTGAGCAGGCGCTGGATCCCTGAGTCACCACGTGGAGGTGAGCGATCTGACCCACATTAGACTGTGAAGCAAATGAGAAATAAATGCTAACATATTCAGCCATTTTTTAGAACTTAAATTCTTTATTGTGTTTTTTTGGGGAGGGTTGAATTTTACTTTTTAAAAAATATATTTTATTGATTTTTTACAGAGAGGAAGGGAGAGGGATAGTGAGAAACATAGACGAGAGAGAAACACCGATCAGCTGCCTCCTGCACACCCCCTACTGGGGATGTGCCCACAGCCAAGGTACATGCCCTTGACCGGAATCGAACCTGGGACCCTTGAGTCTGCAGGCTGATGCTCTATCCACTGAGCCAAACCAGTCAGGGTGTAAATTCTTTATTGTTTAAAGTATTACATGAGTCTCTTTTTCCCCCCATTGACCTCCCCCGGCCGCTCCCACCCCCAGCACATGCCCTCACCCCCTCCTGTCTGTGTCCATTGGTTATGCTCAGATGCATGCACACAAGTCCTTTGGTTGATCTCCCCCCCCCCCCACCTTCCCTCTGAGGTTGCACAGTCTGATCGATGCTTCTGTGTCTCTGGTTCTGTTTTTGTTCATCAGTTTATGTTGTTCGTTATATTCCACAAATGAGTGACATCATGTGATATTTATCTTTCTCTGACTGGCTTATTTCACTCAGCATAATGCTCTCCAGTTCCATCCAGGCTGTTGCAAATGGTAAGAACTCCTTCTTTTTTACCGCAGCGTGTATTCCATTGTGTAGATGTACCTCCGTTTTCTAATCCATTCATCTGCTGATGGGCACTTAGGCTGTTTCCAGATCTTAGCTATGGTGAATGTGCTGCTATGAACATCGGGGTGCATATATCCTTTCTAATTGGTGTTTCTGATTTCTTGGGATATAGTCCTAGAAGTGGGATCCCTGGGTCAAATGGGAGTTCCATTTTTAGTTTTTTGAGGAAACTCCGTATTGTTCTCCACGGTGGCTGCACTAATCTGCACTCCCACCAGCAGTGCACGAGGGTTCCTTTTTCTCCACATCCTCGCCAGCACTTGTTTGTTGGTTTGTTGATGAACATATTCAGCCATTTAGACTTAAGGATTGTTTGTCACAGAATCATCCCAGACTGACCAAGACATTTCCTCTCAATTTCTCAAATGCACCAGCTTCGTTCCACCCCAGGACCTTTGCACATGCTGGTCCCTCTCCTTCCTGCTGTGCTTGGCTCACATGGCTTATCCCTTACCGTTTCAGTTGAAACCTCCCTCTCTCAGAGAATCCTTCCGGATCTCTTCCAGCGCGCCAAACTCCCATGTTATACATTCTTGAATTCCCACATTTCTCCTTCAAAGTGCTTATTCCAATTACCTATATTAATAAAAGCGTGATATGCTAATTAGACTGGACATCCTTCCGGATGACCTTCTGGATGAAGCTGCAGGGGGGGAGGTGCCGAGGCAGAGGCAGCCGCCACAGCGGCGGGGGCCAAGCCCCTTGGACGAATTTCGTAATCAACTAACTAACTAAGTTCATATTATTTGAAGTCATTTTCCTCTGTACTAAGATACAAGCTCCGTGAGGGGAGGGACGGTGTTCAGTGATGCTCCATGAACCCGGCCCGGTGCCTGCCGCCTGGCACCCCCTTAGCCAGCATGTGCTGGAGGAGTGAGCACAGCCTCTGTCCCGCAGGTTCTCCGGGCGTCTGGTCCACCTGAGCTGCTCCCGCACCCTCCCCGGACCTCCGTTCTCACATCGAAAGAGTGAATCCGAAGCGGGACTAGGATGAGGTGAGCAGGGCCCTTGCCCCGGGCACAGAATTTAAGGGGCGGCAAAAAAACAACACGGCATCTCAGCAATCAAGATAAAGAATCGTTTCATGTCATAAAGATGGGTCAGCACCGGTGCTGTGAGGGGCCGTATTGGAGTCCGCGGCAAAAGGAGAGGTCAGTAGTACTAATTCTGTCTGCATTTCAAGTGTTTATGCTTTGGCCCGGCCGGCGTGGCTCAGGGGTTGAGCGTCGACCTAGGAACCAGGAGGTCAGGGTTCGATTCCAGGTCAGGGCACAGGCCCGGGTTGTGGGCTCCATCCCCAGGGTGGGGGGGGGCGGGGGGGGGGCCGTGCAGGAGGCAGCCGACCAATGATTCTCTCTCATCATGGATGCTTCTTTCTCTCTCTCTCGGGGCCTGGGTGTCGCCACTGTGAGATGTGAACGGATGCTCCACGCTCCACAGTGCCCTGGTCCCCGCGGGCCTCCCCTCTTCCTGTGCCCCGCTCTCCGAGGGAAGCTCGGAACAAAGTGAGATCCGTGGCTTTGAGTGGCACACGCGGCTTTGAAGCCCGAGCTGAGACTATAGCTTTGCAAGAGCCGAGTTTTGAGAGAGGCGCCCTTTGTGTAGGTCCAAAAGCCTGGCTTTGAACTTGGAGAGCAGGGAGCTGACGCCGCACGGCCGGGTGGGGGGAAGCAGGCGTCACAGAAGCCACAATCCCAGGCGAAAGGCGATGAAGGCTCCTGGGCAGGTGGGAGGGAAGGGGCCGAGCCGCCTCCCTGAAGGTGGATGCCGCTGCAAAGGAGGCCCCGGCCCTGCCTGCTTGGGCTGAGCCTGAGGGGGCATGAGAAAGTCCCAGGTAGATCTGGGGGACCCCAGGGCGAGGAGACCTGCACTCACGCGCGCGCACACACGCACACACACACACACACGCATACTCACCCCTTTTCTTCAGCAGAAGAAAGCGAAGCCCCTGCTCATCACGGGCTGCATGATGCTGGCTCTCCAGGAAGCTTCCAGGCCTCACTTCTCACACCGCACCCGACCCCACCCCGCCCCGGGTTCCGTGATGTGATGGAAAGGCCCGCGCTGGGAGCAGAGGCCTGAGTGCGCACGAAGCGGGGGGCTTGGGGCGTTCGCTCCGTCTCTGCTCAGCTGGACCTGGTTCTCACCAAGTTCCTTCCAGCGTGAAGTTTTACGGCTCCAAGACCCTCCTGGCGGCGCCCTGTCTGTAGCAGCATCTGGAAAAGCAAGAAGACTCGGCGGCGGCAGCCCTGGAAGACCCCAGCAGACCCTCCTCCAAGCCTAACAGAGAACGGGGGGGGGGGGGGGGGGATGCGGGTTCCTGGCCGTCCTTGCGTATTTGGCTGTTCGGGGACCATCTCTGTGGGAAGGGGTGGCCCTCCAGATGGCCAGAGAGGAAAGCGGGGATCAGATTTCGAGTTTCGGGCCCTCCATCTGTGCGTGCAGCCTACCCACCCTCCTGCCGCCTTCCCACCGGGGCCTCCACCACCCCGGCCTCCAGTTCCCACGGACAAATGCCTTTTCCCAGCTGGCCAGCTGTCAAGCCCATGAGCCGGTGGCTCTGCATGTCACCATGTGACCCCGGCCAGATGGTGCCTGTCAGCTTCCGCTGCCACGGTGCCATGACGAGGGCAGCCTCACGCGTGTCCGTGTGCGTCAGAAATGGGGTCCAATCACGTGGCGCCCAGCGTCTGTCCCGATCCTGCTGTCCCGTCAGCCCTCGGGGCTCCACACCCCCACAGCCTGCCGTCAGCGCAGCACCCACCTGTGTCCCCAAACTTCCCCCAGAGGGAGGCCCTCTGTGTTCTCACTGAAAAGACGAGGCCCACGGAAAACTCCCAGCCCCGCAGGCTGTGGGGGCTTAATAAAGGCTAATCATCGTCTTTGTGCCGCAGACTGATTTCCAGAATATCCTGAGGCGGGGGGAGGGGGGGCGGGGGCAGGCAGCCTTGGCAGCAGCTACAATTGGCACAATTGGCACCAGCTGGAAGGAGTGACTCGCCTGGTTTGCAGGTGAAGGGAGGGGCAGGCAGCATCCAGGAGGCCCAGCAGAGGTGCCCTCAGGGGGGGCAGCCTAGGCCTCTGGGGTCACCCCCATGCTCTCCCAGACAGGAGGGGGCCTGCTCCCCAAGAAGGTGCTGAGGGTCCTGTCCAGGGCCAAGCAGGAGGCGGCAAAGGCCAGACCCTGCAATGCACTGGCAGGGTAGCCTTTCTCAAGTCCCCACCCCACCCAGGCCTGCTTCCTCCGCTCCAGCGTCAAGGCAGCTCCTGTTTGCGAGCTCAGCACCTTATACGTCGGCTCGTGTGGCCCAGCAGGTGGGCACTGCTGTTTGGTCAGTTCAGACGCCCAGCGGCCTCCATAGCTGGTGACCAGACGCCCAGGCGGCCTCCACAGCTGCGGCGGAAGCAGCTGCAGGGTGAAGAGCTGGGATTCGAACCCAGGACGTCTGACTCCAGAGCCCGGGCCCGGCCAGCTCCAGCCCACAGCCTGGGCTCCGAGGGAGGAAACGGACCAGAGGCTCACGTCTCTGCGGGGCAGGGGGACAGGTGCCCCCAAGGGAAGCCGCACTGTCAGCGCCCAGGCTCACCCGGCAGCACAGGGTGGGCGGGACGTGGCGAAGGCCTGTCCCTTCAACTGTCCCAGTGACCTGAGCACCACAGGGGGAGGCGCTCACCCGCCTGCTGGCGACACCGAGGAGGGCTCAGCACTGACCCAGGCCCAGCTCCGGCCCGCGGGGCTCAGGGGTGAGAGGTGAGGCCCTCGGGCCGCTATGGGGAAGCTTGGCTGGGGCTGGTCAGCTGCTGGGCACCGTGTGAGGGGAGGTCCCCTCCAGCCCTCCAGCAGGCCCCGCCCGCGACCCTCACCGGCTGTGACTTGGGGAGTCACTGCACCTCTCCATGCCCATGCTCCTCTGGGAGATGGGACAGCCAGGCCCTGCACCCAGCGGAGGCGCCAGAACCACCAAGGCTTAGCATTGGCCCCTCCTAGATCCCCTTCCTGCCACCCCACGCCCTGGCCACCTTATCCTCACACGGCTTCTGGGCTGGGGCCCGGGACCCAAGCAGAGAGACCAGGACCCAGGCAGGGGATCCGGACCCAAGCAGGGGGGCCAGGACCCAAACAGGGGACCCAGGACCCAAGCAGGGGGCCCAGGACCCAAACAGAGAGACGAGGACCAAAGCAGGGGGCCCAGGACCCAAGCAGAGAGACCAGGACCAAAGCAGGAGGCCCAGGACCCAAACAGGGACCCAGGACCAAAGCAGGGGCCCAGGACCCAAGCAGGGGCCCAGGACCCAAGCAGGGACCCAGGACCAAAGCAGGGGGCCAGGACCAAAGCAGGGGCCCAGGACCCAAACAAGGGACCCAGGACCCAAACAAGGGACTCAGGACCCAAACAGGAGGCCCAGGACCAAAGCAGAGAGACCAGGACCAAAGCAGGAGGCCCAGGACCCAAGCAGAGAGACCAGGACCAAAGCAGGAGGCCCAGGACCCAAACAGGGGGCCCAGGACTCAAACAGGGACCCAGGACCCAAGCAGGGGGCCCAGGACCCAAGCAGGGGGCCCAGGACCCAAACAGGGACCCAGGACCCAAACAAGGGACTCAGGACCCAAACAGGAGGCCCAGGACCAAAGCAGGGGGCCCAGGATGAGCTGCCTGGAGAGAGGCTGCAGGGGAGGAGGCAGGGCTCATGGATCACAGGGGCTGCTCAGCCCCCGCCCTTGGTGGGGTCCACACCTCCAGCCCAGGAAACCCGAAGCAGCCCCAGCTCCCATGGCCTGGAAACTGGGTGCAGGACCATGGGGGTGGGGGGCAGAGAGAGAGTGTATCAGGCTCCAGTGTCCTCGACACCCTATCTCCTCCTGGGCCAGAGAGGAGGGTGAGCAGGGAACACGAGCTGTAAGGAGACACCGATGGGGGAATGAGAAATGGATGCAGCAGATGTCTGTCCCGCTGATTTTGTGTGTCTATGTCGGTGTCTGTGTCTATGCGTGTTGATGTGCATGTGTCTGTGTCTGTTGATGTGTATGTGTCTGTCTATGCGTGTTGATGTGTATGTGTCTGTGTCTACGTGTGTGTATGTGTATGTGTCTATGTGTGTTGATGTGTATGTGTCTGTGTCTATGTATGTGTGTGTGTGTCTATGCATGTTGATGTGTATGTGTCTGTCTATGCGTGTTGATGTGTATGTGTCTGTGTCTATGCGTGTTGATGTGTATGTGTCTGTGTCTATGTGTGTTGATGTGCATGTGTCTTTCTATGCATGTTGATGTGTATGTGTCTGTGTCTATGTGTGTTGATGTGCCTGTGTGTGTCTGTGTCTGTGTGTTGATGTGTCTGTGTCTATGCGTGTTGATGTGTCTGTGTCTATGTGTGTTGATGTGCTTGTGTGTGCCTGTGTCTATGTGTGTTGATGTGTCTGTGTCTATGCGTGTTGATGTGTCTATGTATGCCTGTGTCTGTGTGTTGATATATCTGTGTCTATGCGTGTTGATGTGCTTGTGTGTGTCTGTGTCTATGCATGTTGATGTGCCTGTGTGTGTCTGTGCCTATGCGTGTTGATGTGCCTGTGTGTGTATGTGTCTGCATGCAGAAGCACCTCAGGTGCTCATGTGATGACCCGTGGTCATGTACATGCTTGTTTTGTGTTTCCATGTTTCTGTGTGTTGTTGTTAGTGAGTCTAGGCCAGTGGTCGGCAAACTCATTAGTCAACAGAGCCAAATATCAACAGGACGACGATTGAAATTTCTTTTGAGAACCAAATTTTTTAAACTTAAACTATATGGGTAGGTACATTGTTATTAACATAATTAGGGGACTCCTAAGCCGGCCTTTGCTAAAAACGTCCTCCATCTGATGGAGGTACGTTCACTGAGGTCGACCCCTTCCAACTCTCCCATCCACACCCGTCTTGTATACTTGTTTCGTCTGTCTCCTTTCCGAAAACCGACTTCTGCGCATGGCCACGAAGTTTCAATCGCACCGTATGTGCGCACCCGCACATGGTATTTTGTGGAAGAGCCACACTCAAGGGGCCAAAGAGCCACATGTAGCTTGCGAGCCACGGTTTGCCTACCACTGGTCTAGGCACACTTCTCTGCTGGGATTTTTGTATCCGTCTGTGTTTGCATGTGCATCTCCAGGGGTCTGTGTGTGTTTTGGGGTGAGTGTGACTGTGGGTGGTGGGTTGGCTGACCTCCCCTCTCCCCCCTCACGGTGGCCAGGCCTGGGTTGGGATCAGCCCAGGTGGCAAATCTTTTTTTTTTTTAATATATTTTATTGATTTTTCACAGAGAGGAAGGGAGAGGGATAGAGAGTTAGAAACATCGATGAGAGAGAAACATGGATCAGCTGCCTCCTGGACACTCCCCACTGGGGATGTGCCCCCAACCAAGGTACATGCCCTTGACTGGAATCGAACCTGGGACCCTTGAGTCCGCAGGCCAATGTTTCATCCACTGAGCCAAACCAGTCAGGGCAGGTGGCAAATCTCTAGTTTGGTGACTCACCCCCAATGTTGGGGGCCATGGACCAGCCACTGTGCGTGGGGCTTTCGCAGGGCCTGAGTCTGGCTGGGCCTGTAGCTGGGAGACTGTGTCCCCTCTTCCCTCCCCCACATGCCACAGGGAGCCCCAGCCAGGCCACGACAGCTCCCATGCTGCTGCGGAAGACCCCGGGGATGCCAGGAAGACCTGCGGGGACCCCGGGTCAGCAGAGCTGCTCCCCAGACACCCCCACAGGGCTGGAAGAGGGGAGCAGCAGCTGGACCACTGAGTCCGCCCTCTGCACGCGGGGCCGGCCTGCCAGGTGCAGGGGACGCCCTCAGCCTAGGCTGGGCTGTGCTGCCTTCCTGCTGTGTGACCTGGAGCAGCTCATGCCCCCCTGGGCCCGGCTCCTCGTTTATAAAATAAGGCGCAGGTGCCAGCAGGGCCCAGCCACAGCTGTAGAGCTGGCGTCACACACGCGACCTGGAGAGGCGGGTGCTGAGTGGCAGCCCAGATCTGCCTCACGGGCATGGGTCCTGGTGCCAAACAGCCGCCGGGGTGCGCCTGCTCCCATTCCCACAAAGGGCGGCCCAGGGACCAGCCCTTCCCGCAGCCCCAAACTCCCCTGCTGGCGTCCACGTGCCCCTCCTTATGCGCCTGTGCCACGCCAGCACGGCCAAGGGCAACCCTGAGAGGGGGCGGTGAAGGATGGAGAAAAGGCAGAGAAGAGAAGAAAGCTGGGGCGCGGTGGGACGCCGCCCTCTCTGGTGGAGAGACAGCACCACGGACTATGAG